GGATGTCGGGTGTGCAGACAGCCTGAAACTCATGCTGTCCTCCCCCGACTGGGCGACGTGCTACCCGAACCTCGTCCACCTGTGGATGGCTGTCGCCGTGCTTCCGCTCAGTACCGTCGAGTGCGAGCGCGGCTTCTCACGACAAAACATCATCAAGAGTTGGCTTCGCGGGAACCTGTGCGACGCGAAGCTGGGAGAGCTGATGGCTGTGTCGCTCCTAAACTATGACATGGAGTGGCCCGAGTTGCTGAGGAGGTGGAATGCTTCCAAGAAGCGAAGGCCTGCTAACGATGTGCTGATGGCGTCCGGGGAGAGACAGAGCAAGCGTGCGAGGAAGAGATCGGCCGCAGCTGCAGCAGCAACAGCTGCACTGGCAGCGGCAGAAGCAGCTGCTCGAGAAGCGGCCCTGGTAGCAGAAGCAGCAAGGATGGATGTTGAGTACCCGTGGCTTACCAGGAAAGAACGGGCCACAGTTCCCGTGGGGAGTGAGGATGGTAGTAGTGATAGCAATGAGGACTACGACTCTAGTGAGTCTGAGTCTGACTAGGTCCTTAGCTACTGCCTAGGTTGTTTGATAGAATGAGTATAATTGCAGGTAGTGTTCTTGTAGGCTGACTTGGTTTTTTTTTTCGTCTAGTTTATCAGACTAGGAAAAATATTTCATCTTATACTGCAGACCACACAAATTTCGTCGTCAAAGCCGAAGACGGGGAAATTTTTTTTGAGGGTACTGTCAGACAGGCCCTAAACCTAGCGAGAACCCTGTTTAATACTTCAAAAACCAAAATTGGAATTTGACATTTTATAAGCGCCGGCGCTTATGGCCGTTCCTCAATTACAAGCGCCACCCCTAAAAAATCATTACTTATTATAAGCGCATATGCGCTTATATCCGGGGCCAAACGGTACACCGCGGGAAACTTCGCGTCGCAGGGCGGGGGAAAACTGGCAGCTGTACGAGGGAAACATCGCGCCACAGGGCGGCGTCGCCCACGGAACTACTCAGTTGGCACAGATTTCGCGCGAATGACGGTACAGGTACAATGTACCACCGCTAATCCTGGGTGTCGGCGCACAGGTACATTCAATCAGAGTCGCTACTCGTTTGTACTCTGAATTCCTCAGAGTACACTCCCGGGAAACTCTGAAATCTCAGAGTCAGCATATAAAGAAAATCTGATTTTTACAGAGTTAAGGCTATAAAAACTCTGAATTTCACAGAGTACACCCAAAAAAATATCTGAATTCTCAGACTTTTCCAAGCAAATCAGACAAATTTCTCTGACTTCTGAGGGCCTGGTTACCAGCCCTGGAGATCACCAGAATTCGCAGCTGGCGGAGAGAAGCCAAGGGGAATGCGAGCTCCTCCGCATCTTCCGCCAACACCAGCTCCAGATGTACTAACTGGGGGAATGCGCTGTGTTCAGACACATCGGCTTCCCCACTCTCAACGTTGACCAGGTTCAAAATCAGCTTCTTGAGATTTGGCAGCAAATGGAGGTTCGGCATGAAAATGGACTGATTGTAGCTCCCAAGGCTCAGGGATTCTAGAGAGGAAGGTAGAGAGACAGGCGGTCCGTTCAGCCAGATGGCATTGTGACATCCAGTCAGCTCCAGCCGTCTGAGCTTTACAAGGGCTTCCAGCTCCTTGGGAACTGACGCGAGCTCGCTGCACATCCCAATGGTGAGGGTGTCCAAATTAGTCAGCCCTGTCACGGATTCTGGAATCTCCCTGAGATTGAAGCAGCAGTGGATGTTCAGCTGCCGCAGCTGATTCAGTTTTCCAATCCCCCCGGGAAGCTTCTCATCTGAAACCAGATCCAGGTCAAGCCGGGTCAACGAGGTCAGCTCGGTAAGTGAACCGGGGAGTTGCAGCAGGTTGAACACAAAGTCTGGGAAAATCCTCTGTATGCCAACCATTCCCTCCAAGCCCTCAGGAAGACACAGTAGCGGCAGCTTCACCATGCACAGCGACTTGAGAGCTCCCAGGCGACCGAAATTCGCTGGAAGCTGGCGGATTTTGCGGCAGCATACCACGAGCAGGGTCTTTAAAGATGTCAGATAGGCGAAGGATTCAGGAAGCTCCGTGAGAGAAAGCATGTACATGGTTAATGTCTCCAGGGATTCGAGACGCCCGAAAGAGTCGGGGAGGTTTGCTAGTGGCAGATCCCGCAGCACCAATCTTTTCAGGGCAGATAAGCGGCCAAAGTTGTCGGGCAGGCTGGAAAACCGGAGGCACGATGAGATTTTCAGGCTCTCCAACTGCGTCAGAGATGTGAAATTTCCGGGCAGGCTCGTGAGTCCTGTGCACCAGCTAAGGGTCAGCTCGCGGAGGCACGGCAAAATCTCTCCAAGGTCGTCCGGAAGCCGGTCAAGGAAGTGGGAACCCGCAATCACCAGCCGTTCCAGCCTGGAGCACGGCAATCCCGAGGGAAGAAACAAGATGAACGGAGAAACCTCTCCCTCGAGCTGCAGCGACTTGAGAAACGGCAGCTGTGAGACGGAAAACGTCCCCCTTGGTTCCTCTACCTCGGGGTCGTAGCTGATGGCCAGGCTGGTAAGCCTTGGCAGCTGAGCGAGATGCACAAGATGGTGAAAGATCAGGTTCAGAGAGGTTAAGCGGATCGAGCTAAGAGACGAAAGGGTCGACAAGCCGGGGTTGGTCAGCGTTGACGCGTCCGGGAGAACGAGAGTGTGGAGCCGCGAGAGCTGGAAGAACGAAGCCGGGAATACGATGTTCGGGTGAAGAGCCGATCCAAGGCGGTCGAATGAGATAACCTCCAACTGCGTGCATCCCTGAAAGAGCTGATCCAAGCCGGTTTCGGTAATCGGGTGTAAGTGCTTGCTCTCCTGGATTTCCGCATCTTTAGTGATCCTGCTTCCCACGTGAAGAATTTAACTGAGGGCATGACGACGCGAGGTGGGAGAGGAAGGCGTTGTCTAGGGTTTCCACGCTGCCGTCACACAGATGAAGGTGGGTGAGGTTCGGGAAGCATGAGACGGCGTTGGCGAGGTCATGGCGGGAAACGGCGAGATTTTCCCTGACGAGAAGCGTCGACGCGTAATGCTGGGAGAGACGGCGCTAGCGACGGCAGACGGAAGCGATAAGGAGACTAAGAGCTGCGTCGGTGAAGGCAGGAGGAGTCGGTACGATAGAGTTACCGTCGCTATCGCTCGAGTACTCTGGTGGATCTTTAGTCCAGACATATTTCTGGCTCGGACATAAAGAGTCGCATTTAGCATTGTCGTATGTAGCATCGTCGTATGTAGCATCACCGTCGAATGCAGTGGATACCGGTGTTTGGGACGTACGGCATAGTATTCTAATAAGTAGGTCGTCAGACAGCCTGTTGATGTGCGCACGAGAAGCCATGGTTTATCGGTCAGCTAAAACCCGCACGAATTTCTGGAGAAGCCAAAAGCTACTCACTAAAATGGCTACCAGACGCAGCTCAACAGACGCACAACTTCTGGTTTCTAAACTGGTCGCCGCGGTGATTGATGATTCCGTGATCTACGTCAAGCTCACCCAGCAAAGCAGGATGTTGATCCGTCAATGCCGTCAGAAAGCATCAGCCGTCTAGCTCCAGATGAGATTATGGGCGTTGTTCTGCAGGCGTTAAATTGCCAGAAACTGGGTCCGCAGAATCTTCCTCGATAAGCGCGCTTCTGCCTATCAAGGTTTGGTGATAAGCGCTGTCCTGCCAAACCTTTTAGCGCCAAATTTAACGCTTCAGCCTGCAGAACGCCACTCTTGGGGCACACAAATTCAACGGTGTGAAGGCTCCACAGTGTTGCATCTTCAGGCAAATGTCCGCATAACTTGTGCGCTGCCAATTCGGCCTCGAGAGCTAGCATCAGCCAGCGCACAAGCTAGGGCGCATCACCTCGGGGCTGGAAGGCCCAAATCCGAACATACGTAACGAATTCACTGTACGAACAGTTTCCCGACGAGATCCGAACACAAATCTGAACACCTTGGTGAATGTGACAGCTCGTGACTAGAGGTGATAGCCTGTTCGAACATGCGACGTCGCCAAGTGCTGGACGACTTCGCGAAACGTCGCAAAAAAATAATTCTGTCGTCTGCCATTCAAGTTTGACTCATTTTTCGCCCATCCAGTCAAACAGTCTCTTCGTGCTCTTCTACTACTGCTCACCTTGTTGTTTCCCAACAACAATGTCCTTTTTTATGAACTTTCTCCTGCATGGCGACATTTGCAATGGTCGCAAACATTCGAGTGCGACCCGAAGCCTGCTAACCAATAAAATCAGTCGTCCATGCGGAATTCCTGTCACCAAACCCAACTTTGTTCGAACAACTCTGTTCGAACGTGCGGAATGGAGAGCTTCGTGCCCCGTGTGACAACTCTGTTCAAATTCGCGAAATTTCCGACTAGCGACGTCACGAACACCCATACGAGGAGTGGCGAAAATGTAGCATTTCGCCTGTTCGAACAACCGTCCTGTTCGAACTGAGAGGTGAAGCGCCCTTATGCAGGGCAGCAATTTGTGAGACTCGAGAGTTTGAGCGAGCTTCGTGGGTTTAGGGTGGCGCGACGGGGTTCGGCGAGCGAGCTTCGTGGCAACACCCCCAGCAAATTGAGAAATTAGGCAATTGGTGCGGCCAGAAGCTACAAGGAAGGATAGGTTCCGTACATTTAATGCGGAGGCAATAACGCCTACAGAACAGCGCCATGACGTGGCTCCATGAAGTAGCCGTTGGTGGTAGAAGGCGGGAAGTGGAATCGCTGAAATTCCTCGCATTGCGACAGCACTCCATCACATGCACCAGCCCACGACACAGGTCTTTGGTCCTGACCTGAGATAAAGCGCAGTAGTGTAAATGATGTTACTGTACTTGCTGCAATATGACACTGTTTCACAACAAAAAATCTTAGTATGCAGGCAGAGAGAGGTGCCTGACCCCACTCCCTACCCTCTGCTCACCATTCCCCACCCACACCTCACCCACTTCCTACGCACTCCCACCCACCCCCTCACTCCGTCCCATCCAGCCTATCAATCTCCGCCACATCACCCATCCCCAACCCGCACCGCCACGCTTCAAGATTCTCCCGTATATGCTCTTTATTGCGCGACCTCGGAATCACCACCTGCCCCTTCAGCAACCCCCACTTGAGCACCACTTGTGCGGGCGAGCAGGCACGGCGTGCAGCAATGGCTTTGATGACCGGGTGGTCCAGGACAGGGTTGTGGGAGGGCGAGTCGGAGAAGATCAGGTGCTGCGAGCCAAGGGAGGAGTAGGCCATGTACGCGATGCCATGCTGAGCACAGAGCGATTGTAGGTCCTTGTCTGCTCGTAGGGGGTCGGAGTTCCTGGCAAGGGAAGGGTTTACGGAGGCGGAGAAGGGGGGTGGGTTTGGGAAGGAAGGACGTGGGACGGGCAGGTGGGACTGCGAGAGGAGGGCGATGGGCTGGGAAGAAGGGATGGGCGAGCAGTAAAATTTATCAAGGAGAGGCAATTATGTACCAGGCGCAAAGAGGGTGACTTTCCTGACCACACAGGTTACTCCTCACTTCCCACTCCCCACTCCCCATTCCCCATCCCCACTCCTCACCTCTGCAGCACGTGCGGTTTCACCTCCGCCTGTGCAATCAGCTCCAGCAGCTCGTCTCGCCCAAAGTTGCTCACACCGATCGCCCGCACCGCTCCCCGCTGATACAGCTCCTCCAGAGCCCGCCAGCTGTCCAGCCACCCCGCACCCGTCGCTGCCGCTGCCCCTGCGTCCCCGCAGATGGCGGGGAAGCAGAAGGGGTAGTGCAGGAGGAAGAGGTCGAGGTAGGGCACGCGGAGATCGCGCAGGGAGTCGGAGAAGCGCTCGCGTGTGATGGCGTGCCCGTGATGCCGCGGGTGCAGCTGGGGGGAGCGGGAGGGGGGGTGGTGGGGAAAGGAGAGGAGGGGGAGAGGTGACGGATAGTGGATGAGTTGATTTAGAAGCCGCGTGATGGCATGCTCGGGGTGCCGGGGGTGCAGCTGCGGGGGGGAGGGAGAGGGTGGGGCGTGTGGGGGGTGGGCGAGAGACGTGAGAGAGTGAGACGTGGGATGATGGAAGAGGGACGAGAAGAGGAAAGAAGAGAGTGCGAAGAGGAGGTGCGGGGGGGCCAGCAGCAGCCCACCTTGGAGACGAGGAAGAGTTGGTTGCGGGACACGTTGTGCTGCGCTATGGCTGCCCCCACTGCGTCCTCTCGGTACCACTCACGTGCTTGCGCCGAGTCAAACAGCCTGCACTCCCACCACAGCACCACATGACATGCATGGGAACAGAAGGATAGGATAGGTGGGTGGTGCGGGGGTGACTTTTGAGGCGCCTCAGAAGTGCGCCATTTTCACAGCATGGCATGCACGGGAACGGGCGTGGGAGCAAACGGAGGGGAAAGGGGGGGGGGAGGGAGGAAATGCCTGAGGCAACGAGAGATGAGCCTTGCAGCACCAGGAGCGGGTGAGGGCGCAGGCACCCAGCTCACCCACACATGCCTCCCTCACCTCACCTCACCTCACCTCACCTCACAGCTCCTTACCTCGTCCCACTCGTCTGCCCGTTTCGTTGAGCCAACTTTAAAACAGTCTGCCTGCCTGCTCTCCCGACCCCCCCGCTGCCTGCGCTCACCTGTACCCAGCCTCCAGCGCCCACCCCACGGCCCTCTCTGTCTCCTCCCCCAGTCCCGCCGTCCCAAACCCCAACCGCGGCATCATCACGCCGTTCCACAGCCGCACCTCCCCCGCGCCCTCCGCTTCCCCCGCTCCCCTCGCTTCCCCCACCCCGCCGCCAGCCCCGTTCCCCGCGCCATCTGTCCCCAAGCTTCCCCGCTTCCCCAGAGTTTCTAATTCTCCCTCATTTACGGAACCTGCGGAGCTTCCGGAATTTGAACCGCCGACAGCGCTGAAAGCGGTAGCGGATCCGCCAGCGGCTGTGCCGGCGGCGGCGGTTGCGGAAGTTTGGCGGGTGAAGGAGAGATGCGCCTGCAGCTTGCGCGCGTGGGGGGAGGTGCGGTGCGCGAGGTGGCGCGCGAGGAGGAGAAGCGCGCCAAGCAGAATGAGCGAGTGTCGCACGGGGTTGCGGCGGAAGGAGGGGAAGAGCGAGAAGAAGCGCGCGAAGAAGGAGAGCGGAGAGGACGCGGAGAGCGCAGGCTGGCGCGCACGGCGAGATGTGGACCCCTGCATCGGGACCTACTGGCGGAGTCGACTAGAGGCGGAGCATGGGAAGAGTGATATTTGTGAATTCGCTTACATGGCGTGGCGAGGGATGATGGTGGAAAGGTAACTAGTCACACGCAAATCACGTCATGGGGAGGGAGTGATGATGGTGCGAGTCAAATGCGGTCGGATTCGAGACGCGACAGCGTTACAGAAACAGTTGCGTATGCAAATATATCACATAAATAATCCACTCAGATGCTACATTTCCCATTCTTCAGCTTGTTTTTATTTGGCAAGCATATGCGAGTCCCTTGTTTCAGTTTGTCCAGACAATCATAGCCGTTGATTTTCTTGTAGCACCCCTTGATCCCTCGGAAATACTTGACCTGAACCATGCTGCAGCGATCACTGTTTGTAACCATGTAGAAGTTGGAGAATGGACAGGTTCCAGCCGTGTAGCTTGACTGGCTCTGTATGCATGCCTGTTTAATGGGAACGAACAGGAAAAGAGGCAGGAATTGAGATTTTGAAAGCAGAGGAACAGGGGTGAGGGGCAAGGATTAAATGGTGAGTGGCAAGCCATGGTATGGACCAGGTGCAGGTAGGAAAGCAGGGAAGTATGAGATTGACGAGTGGGGAAGGGGGAGAGGGGAAGCAGATATGTGAGTCATTGGGGCATGGATGCACTGAGAGGCACCAGCACGTGCTCATTCAAACATCCAATGCATTTTCTCCCCCCTCCCCCACACACACACACACCCATACATGCATACATACACGCTGACGCATTCAGACATGCAACAGTACGAAAAAAACATAGCATGGCAGCCACACAAACGCACCCTCACGCACTTAGCTGCACACACGTACACCCAGACACATGTGCACCCGCATGACAACATGGTCATACCTCAAAGCCAGTGAAGCTGTCTGCAGAGGTCTTGGGCACGAGGCGCGAGCAGCGCATGCCGGGGTTGAGGCGGAAGAAGTCGAGCGGGGAGAGCGGCGGGGAGGGCACGTTGCGAATGGACTCGCACGTCTCTGCGCTCTGCACCAGGTAGTACTGCGAGCACACCGGAATCACCTGCCCCCCTGCTGCTGCATCTCTCTCCCCCTGCCGCTCCACACATACCACCTGGTTCGGCTGTAGGCCATCCCCACTTACTCCCCCACCCACACCCGCGCCACCACCCCCCCCACCACCATCCCCACTGTCTAGTGCGGTGCAGTTGAGCCCGGGGTTGAGAGCGAGCAGGGCTTCAATGCACGGGGTGCCGCTGGGATTGCAGCTCTTGGTCAGCTGGAAGTAGGCTGCTAGGGATGCACACGTGTCACCCTGTGAGTGGAAGATGTAAGGGGTGGCAAGAGAAAGTGGATGGAAGTCCAGCAGCAGAACGTGCATGTGTTTGCATGTGCTTTTTGTGACCATGAGTTTCACGAGGCTGAGTCTACCTGGTGGGAAACCATGAAACGACAGCGCAATGGCAAGAACACGCACAAGCTCAAGCACAAGGGCAAGCACAAGAACATGAGCAGTGACAAACAGGGAGACGTTGCAGCAGTGCACCTGCTGATCTTTACAGGGGACCTGCATGCAGGATTCGACACAAATCTTGAAGAGAGTGAGAGCAGGGGAAGGTGCGGGGGCGCACCTGGTCAGTGGTGTAGAAGACAGAGCACGGAGTGAGGCCGTCAGGTGGTGTGACGTTGAGACGCGTGTTCAGAGGCAGCGGCATGCTGCAATCCACATTCTGGAAAGCGCAGGGGAGGGGAGGGGGGAAAGGATGACAGGAGAGGAGATGAGTGGAGAGGAGAGGAGAGGACAGGGGATGAACTGGAAAGAAGGATATCAGACAGGCGATCAGGTTAAGCGGACAGAGGGAAGGGTAAGTCATGGGTGGAGAGAGAGAGCCTCTAAAACCATGAAAAGGGAGCACGAGGTCCATTCAGGGGCGATGGGAGAGGAGCTGGGAGCGGCAGAGCGCCAAACGAGGGTAGTGGTACCGGGTTCTGTGCGGTGAACTGCGGTAGAGTGAGGCCGTAGACGGGGTGGATGGCGGCACACGTGAGGCCGAGGGAGAGAACTGTGTAGGTGCCGTCGGTGTCGCCTGGTAGGGGTGTGTGTCGGGGGTAAAGAGGAGAGTGAATTATAGGGGGAGAATGGAAGAGAATGGACGAGGCCGAACGTATGAGGAGGACGGAATAAGAAAGGGGTGGAGGGGAGGAGGAGAACAGGAAAAGGTACCTGGAGCGCAGGAGTAAGTGCCATCAACTGTGGTGCCCTGCCTGAAGCCCGGTGGACACACACATGAGTACGACCCCGCCCCGTCATTCACACATGTGCCCACCGCACACGGGTTGCGAAACGACGCCCGACACACGTCCACTGCAGGAAAACATAAGAAAAACAAGTCCAATACGTCGCATGTATAGCGGTAACAGCAGCTGCAGAGGAAAATCAAGCAGGCTTACGGCAGCGAGGACTACACCTGGCCCTTCGCCCTGACAACAGAGGACATCAGCAGGGGCTCACTAACAGCACGTGGCCTCACCACAACCCCATTCACCCTCAGCATACCCCTCCCCCTCACCCCCGCCTTTCCCCTCCCTCCACTCCCATTCCCCCTCCAGCCCCCCACCCTCACCATAAGCGCAGGTGCGTGAGCCGTCGCCATTGAGCGCCTCAACAAAGCGGGGGTCGGTGCAGTCGCAGCGCAGAACAAAGAGCACGGACCCACAAAGAGCACGTGTTCTTGCCATGACTCCCTCCATCCCCCCACCCTCACCATAGGCGCAGGTGCGTGAGCCGTCGCCATTGAGCGCCTCCACGAAGCGGGGGTCAGTGCAGTCGCAGCGGTTGGTGGTGCCCTGCACGCGGCACGTGAAGTTGCCGCACGGGTTCAGCACCGGACCCAACGCCCCCCTGCGCGCCTGCATGTTGCATGGGTCTTGTGGCGCTGGGGGATTCAGAAAAAGGGGTGAGGGAGGGAAGGGGAGAAACCGCGTGCTGCACGGGTCGCGTGACGCTGGGGGATTCATTGTTCAGAAGAGCGGGTGAAGTGTGGGGAGGGGGAGGAGAAGTTGTGGGGTTGGGAGAGGACGGGAAGCTGTGAAGAGATGCTGTGGTTGGAAACTGAGAGGCCACAACGGCGAGCAGGAGGCATGAGAGGGTAAGAGTAAGAGGAACACAGGAACGAACAGAGTGGCAAAAGCGTTATTAACACAGGAGGATAGGACTGCTTCTATTGGAGGGGGACTGAGGGACTCCACTCAACTCCACTTGACTCTACCCCAGTCCAGTCCAGTCCAGTCCAGTCCAGTCCAGTCCCAGTCCATTCAATGCAAACCAACTCACATTGAACAACAGGATAGAGGCTTGGCAGAGTGTTGATGCCGCACACGCCATCCCCCCCCTGGATGTCCATGCGCATGTGGCCCCCATCGCCCCAGTCCGCCCCCCACGAGTTGCGGATGATCCAGAAGGGCGGCGCCATGTGGGGAGCAGTGTCGTCCGCCCCCACCAGGCGGTACCCCACCAGCAGCACCACGTGGTTCAGGTTGTATGTGAAGCACGCTGGGTCCTGGTACTTGGACAGCTGGGGTGAGCGAGGATGAGATAGCGTCGCACAAAGGTCGACAGATGCAGAGAGGTGGAGAGACAGAAATAAGGGCGTGTAAAACTGTGACGACCAATGAAATGCGTAACTCGGAAAATGCGGTGTGTTCATTTCTATGCCGAAAAATACCATTGCAACTCGGTCAAAATCGAGGTGACTACTCAAATATGCGTAACCCTAACACCTCGCAATCACCAGAACCACCCTAACGGTCAACCATTTTGTTCGTTCATTACAATTTTACACGCCCTAAAGAGAGAGTGAGAGACAGGGGCGCAGAGGAGGGCGGGAGCTATCACTTGGACAGCTGGCAGGGACAAGGGCATGCAACGCGGGTTTAGCCCCTGGCATGCGAGGCCCTGGTCTTCTACCTCTGCACTCACCGCACGCGCTTGCTCACCCCGTCATACTGCTTGAACGACTCAGCAGATGCCTCTATGTGCACCACCACTGGCTGGCGCTGCACGGCCAGCAGCAAGCCGAACCAGCCGTAGAAGGACGTGCGCTCAAAGCCGCTGATCTGAAAGCCCTTCTTTCGGGTATCCATCTGCATGGCAGGGGCGGGAATGGGTGGCACACGCGAGGTGAAAAGGCTTTTGATTCGACTCAGAAATCACCTCACCGCCGCTGATCAGAAACGCCCTCTTCTTCCTTGTCTCCCATCTGCATGGCAGGGGCGGGAATGAGCCGTACGTGGGATGCGAGGCGGCGGCAGACGAGACACGTGCCATGTGGGATTCATTGAAGCACACAACATGTGGAAGAGAAAGGGTCGTGAGCAGAGCACTTGGAGTGATCTGACTGATCAGCACTTGCGTGCAGCAAGACCAGCACCATGCATGTACATGCGCACTCACACATGGTCACACCACCCCCTCTTTCCATTCCTCCTCCCGTCCTCCCCCTTCCTGCCCCCCAACCATGCCCCCCACCACCTCAACAATTGCATGCGTGGGGAGCACGCACTCACCGGCACACCGCTCTTGCAAGTGATGCCAAACAGCTTCCTCAGCACTGCAAACACAGGCGAGCACAGCCCACTGCCCGTGCCCCCTGCCAGCTGCCTCCGTGCCCCCTCTGCTGCTGCTCCTCCCTCTGCAATGGCTGCAGCTGTTGGAAAAGCTGCTGCAACGCTAGCGCCGTCTGGGTTAACATGTCCATGCTCTACCACCGAACGCACCATACCCTCACTCGTCCCCATGCCCCACCGCTCCGCCTTTCCCTCTGCTCCCCGTAGCCTTCTCCCAGCCGCCCTCCCCTTCCCCTGCCCCCTTCCTCCCTCCGCCACAGCTGCTCTTTTCTCCTCCACAAGCCCTCCCACTCCCTTCCCGGCGCGGGCGGCTTTGAGGAGGAAGGCGAAGGCCTGGGAGGGCGAGCCGCCCTGGCAGTCGGCGCGCATGGAGGAGCGCAGCTGCAGCGCTGACAGCTGCGGCGCCACCGTGAGGTTCGCCATTATGCTGTAGGCCGCCTCTATGCTGCCCACCACCGCGTACGCCCAGCAGTCGCCACACGCCTGCTGCTGCCTCACGGGCCAGAGCAGGTCGGGGCGGAACCAGGAGGACGAGGGGGAGACCAGCCACGTTTGCTCTGGCTCGGTGTCTTGCGCATCGCTTGTGCCGGATCCGCTGCTGCTGGCGCCGCCGCCGCCGCCGCTGCTGCTGCTGCTGCTGCTGCTGGTGTCCCCGTTGGGGTGCAGGGGCAGCACGCCGGCGCTGGGGTATCGGAAGAAGGGGTTGACGTGGGGCGGGGAGAGGGAGTCGTCTGAGAGGGTCAGGCCCAGTGGGAAGGCTGTGGGGATGTGGGCGCGGTGGGGCGGGGTGGGAGGATGGGAAGAGAATAAATGTGGTTTTTGAGTTTTGAGACGTCTCAAAACTTGTTAGGCAGGGAGAGAGAGTCGTCTGAGAGGGTCAGGCCCAGTGGGAAGGAAGGCTGTGGGGATGTGGGCGAGGTGGGGTGGGAAAGATGGGGAGAGGGAGTAGAATGGGTGTGTTGAGGGAGTGTGTGGAGGGAGAGAGAGTGATGAAGAATGGAGCAGGTGGTTGCCGTGGTGGTGCATGCGACTGTGAATGGTGGAGAACGAAAGAGGAGAGGGACGAGGAGAGGGAGGGGGAGAGGTTGGAGGAGAGGGAGGAGGAGGGGAGGAGAGGGTGGAGAAGAGGGAGGAGGAGAGGGTGGAGGAGAGTGTGGAGGAGAGGGAGGCGGAGAGGGAGGAGGAGAGGGAGGAGGAGGCGGAGGACGAATGGGGGTAGTAGAGTTGTGTTACCTGAGTCAATTGGTACGCTTTGGAGGCCTGCATGTGCGTGGGCAGAGAGGAAATGGAGAAACCAAAAAACATCAATCTATGAGACAGCATGAGTGCATGAAAGCAAATGCGCCACGTCTTCCCAACTCTCGCCACTATCAAAACGACCTATTCTCTGCTCCCCCCTGCCCACCACCCTCCTGAAACCCATCCACCACTTCTGCCTCTCCTTCTGTTCTCCTCCTCATTCGATCTGTTACCCGAGTCCCATCACCCACCCCCCCTTGATCCAGCTCTCCTCCCCTTCCCCCACCCCCTCCCTCCCCCAGCAGAGCCCATCACCTGCAGCAATGCTCCACTGCAGCAGTGTGAGCTCGAGCGGGGGGTTGTCAGAGGCAGCAGCGAAGCCGAGGAAGAAAGCAGAGGCGCTTTCAGTGGGCTGGAGCAGCGCGCACAGGGAGATGCGCGCTGACAGCACGGGCTTGGACGGCCGTGGGGAGGGCCTGGAGGAGAGGAAGGCGCGCAGAGAGCCAGTAGCTGCAGCAGCGGCGGCGGCGGCGGCGGCAGCGGAGGAAGAGGAGGGGTGGTAGTCAATCCAGGCGTACTTTGGGGAGCCGTCGTTGAGCGGCGAGGGGGCGGTGGCTGTGGCTATTGAGGTGAACCCAGTGCTGCTGCTGGAGCTGGTGGAGCTTTTGACTTGGATGGAGACGATGCCTTTTGGGTTGCTGGCACTGGCTGGCACTGCATCAAAGACCACTGCAATGCTGTGCTCCGACTCCGGAAGGTACCACCCACTGCTACTGCTGCTCGTGCCACCAGCAACAGCACCAGTCGCGGAGACAATGAACGCCAGAGCAGCGAATGCATTAGCAGAAGGAGGGCTCGGAGAGGAGTCGGAAAGAGCGATGGTGAAGGCGAAGGAGGTGGAGAATGGGAGGGCGCGGCCACAGGAGGAGGAAGAGAGAAGTGCGAAGGAGAAGAGGCGGATGGGCTGGGGCAAGAAGGCGGCGCCCCAGTTGGTGGGCTGGGCTGGTGAGAGGAGGATGGCGGCGGTGGGGAGGAGGGATGCGGAGCCGCTGAGGGAGAGAGAAGTCGGTGGGGAGGAGTCTGAAGTGGTGTTGATGAATGGGAGAGAGCCTGCAATGCAGGGAGAGGAGGGTGGGCACATGGGCCAAGGGAGGGAGGAAAGGGTGGGAAGGGGGGGAGGGAGGAAGATGTGGGGATGTGACGAGGTGAACCGACAGTGGTTAAGATGCCAGCTGTATGTGAATCGCTTGAGATTTTTTGAGAGTCAAATGAGACTGATGAGCAACCAACCAGGTCCGGTTCCAATCAAACCACCACTAAAACGCTGCAGCTGTGTTGCCTCATATCACTGGACACCACAGCATTGCACCGCTCACCACCTTACAGCACACCACCGCTCCCCACCACACCCCACACCTGTACGCACCATCATCAGGCACGCACGACCCCGGCACGCCTCCATTCGTGTATCCACTATCGCACGCGCACGTGGGCACACGATTCGGCCCGTCAAAGAAGCACACACCGTGCCCGCCACACGGCAGGCTCTCACTCGACAGCCCGCAGAACGCCCGGCACACCTCCGCCCGCCTCTGCGCGTCCAATCCCTCGGGACACGAGAAGGTGGGAGCAGGGCTGCCGTCCTTTGCTACTGCGCAGTTGCTGCGCGTGGTTATGATGGTGCCGGCAGGGCAGGGTGGCTGCGAGGGGAAGGCGGAGGAGAAGTAGTTGTTGTCGAGCTGGTACTGTCGCATGCCGTGGGGGATGGGCTGCAGCACGGAGCCTGTGAGCTGGTTGCTGCGCAGGTTGCTGGGTGAGTGGGCATGGGCATGGGGATTGGGGTGGGGTTTGGGGTGGAGGTGAGGGTGGCGGGTGGTTGGGTTTGGGGTAAAAGCGGGAGATGAGATTGGAAATGAGGAGATGCGATGGGCTTGAACAGATCATCCTAGGACAAGCTGTGTATGGGTGTGTGATTCGGGTGTGGCTGTGTGTGCATGGTGGTGGAGTGAGTTGGGGCTGGGGAGAGAGAGAAAGACGTGGAGCCCCACCACAACGAAGGAGGCGAATGGGAAGGACATGCGAACGGCATGGGATGTAAGATACATGGGAGGAGCGAGGGAAGAGCGGGGCGTACAGGAGGGTGAGTTGAATGAGATCTGTCATCTCTGTGGGTATAGAGCCACTGAAGCGGTTGGAGCTGAGATCCCTGTAGGGTGGCGCGGCATAGAGAGCGTAGGAATCAGAGCCGGGCATGAGAGAGAGAGAGAGAGAGAGAGAGAGAGAGAGAGAGAGAGAGAGAGAGAGAGAGAGAGAGAGAGAGCGAGAGAGAGAGAGAGAGAGAGAGAGAGAGCGAGAGAGAGAGAGAGAGAGAGAGAGAGAGAGAGAGAGAGAGAGAGAGAGAGAGAGAGAGAGAGAGAGCCCCACCTCTTTGATGACTCATACCTTGCATGTCTGTACGCTTTGACTATCAATGAAAGGGCCATTAGAGAGAGAGAGAGAGAGAGAGAGAGAGAGAGAGAGAGAGAGAGAGAGAGAGAGAGGGGTTGGGGGACTTCTAACTGGGGGACTTGTCAACACGATCCTTCGCGGGAAGCTGCGCTCGGAGGTTGGGGGACTTCTAACTGCATCATGGCTGATAGCCCTAGACAAGCCCGACGGAGGAACCAGGCCAATCGCAATAGGCGAATGCATCCTCCGTCTAGCAGCCAAAGCAGCACTTACCCAGCTAGCAGAGGCGGCCAGAGAGTTCTTCCTACCTTTACAGTTTGGTGTAGCTGTGCCGGGAGGAGCCGAAGCAGTGATTCACATAGTTAGAACCTTTACCTCGGCAAATCAGGAAGCGCTAGTCTTGCAAGCGGACTTAGCTAACGCTTTCAACAGCGTTGATCGCCCCGCCATAGTGACAGCAATAAAAGGGTCGCAGCTGGAACCGCTACTACCCCTGGTGAATTTCTCTTACGGTCAACCGTCCACGCTGCACCTAGACGCAGCGTTCAGCCACGCACCTTTGCGCAGCGAGACTGGAGTCCGCCAGGGAGACCCCCTCGGCCCCCTCCTTTTTGCCGCCGCCATGCATCCAGCTCTGAAGGCCGTCGCGGAGGCACATCCGGATGTCATCTGCCTGGCCTACGCAGATGACGTGACCTTCTTGGGCGAGCCGCTGTCGTGCACGGCCGCCTTCGATCACTTCACGAGCCTCCTCGCGGAGGTTGGGCTGAAGCACAACCCCGCCAAGTGCGGAGCATGGTCCAAGGGGTCAACCGCGGGCGTCTCCTTGCCCGATGGAGTTCCACTCAGCAGCAACGGGCTGAAAGTGCTAGGCAGTTACATCGGTACCCCAGGGGCTACCTCCGCGTTCGTGCGCTCCAGTTTGGAGGCAATGGGCACGCCGCTAGGATTGATCGAGCGGATGGAGCCGCAGCTGGCGGGACTGTTGCTGTCTCGGTGCGTTTCGCGCCGTGTATCCTATTTGGCCCGCACGACTCCCCTCCCGTCCCTGCCCAAGGAGGAGTGGTCCGAATGGGGGAGGCAGATGCTGGACACTTTGCTCACAGCGTGTGGCATCATACACCCGCGAGGGACCGAGGAAACTGCGCGCACTTGGGCGCAGGCCTCGCTCCCTGTATCGCTTGGTGGCCTTGGGCTGACAGATCCGTCTGTGGAGGGAAGCTACAGCTTCCTCGCCAGCTACACGCAGGCTCACCTTCTCCTTGACTCCCTCGAGGGCGACTGCAATGGCCCTCTGGAGGTCATCCGCGAGCAGATGCGCGGCCCCTACACTCAGTCATCTCCTTTGACCGAGTGGTTGGCGGAATGCGAGGGGGAGCTTCCACTGCCGGCGCAAGAAGCACTGCAAGCGCAGAGGACAGCCCCTACCGCGGGAAAGCTGCAGCACGGGTTAGCCACGGCTATCCAAGGCCAGCGCTACGCAGTTCAGGTGGAGGAGGTGCGGGGGATGAGCCCGAACCCAAACAATGGGCACACACAACGGCTGTTGTCCCTGTCGGGGTACGGGGCGGGGGATTGGTTGAACGCGGTGCCGCTGCACCGCGCGCTACACCTCGAGGCTCCGCACTACGCCAACGCAGTCCAGTTTCGGCTGGGGCTCCCCTTTGCGGCCCCCGGGGTCTGCAATTGCTCGAAGCAGGTAGAAATCCCTGACAAGCGTCTCCCAAACCACCTGTTACGGTGCGGGACAGGGGGGGGGCGCACAAACACCCACAACGAACTCAGAGATGAGTGTGCGCGAATGGCGCGCGACGCGGGCTTCATGGTGCACATTGAAACGGCCGCCTTCAGCCCAGTGGAGGAGAAGAAGGCGGACCTTGCCCTCCGCTGCCGCTCAACAGGAGCCGTCTACATCTGTGATGTGACGGTGACGGACCCCATCAGCACCCGTGACGAGAATGCAACTAAGGGGCGGGGGTGGGCGGCTCGGGAAGCAGCAGATAAAAAGCACGGCCTCTACAGGGACCGCCCCGAGTGGGTGAAGTTTTTCCCGCTCGCGGTCGAAACTTATGGGTGCCCATGCCCCGAGACAGTGGATTTCCTGAAGCTGCTCGCAGAGACAGCCGCAAGGCGGTTCTTTAACGCCGAGCCAACCTCCTACCAAGCTGCCAAGCTCTTACACCACTTTCGGCAGCGGTGGTCGGTGGCTCTTCAAAGGGGGCAGTCTATCGGTTAGAGGGGGCTCCGTCCCTAGGGGATTGCCTCACGGTCCTTGATCCTGTACTGGACATAGCTTAGAAAGGGGGGGGGGGGGGGGGGGGGGGGGTGTATGTTAAGGGAGTCGTAAGGCCTTTTCGCTCCATACTGACAATAGCTACCTCCCTTGCATGCCTGTAAGTCCTATATGTGTATAAATAAAAGGGCCGTTAGAGAGAGAGAGAGAGAGAGAGAGAGAGAGAGAGAGAGAGAGAGAGAGAGAGAGAGAGAGAGAGAGAGAGAGAGAGAGAGAGAGAGAGGAAACCCTTTAGCCCTCTGCCCTCTGCCTCTTCCCTCTGCCCCCCCGCCCTCCAGAGCTATTTAAGGGCTGTCCCTCTCCCCTTCTCCTCATTATTTCGTACGGAGTTCATTTCCGGCGGGAGAGAGCGAGAGAGAGAGAGAGGAAACCCTTTAGCCCTCTGCCCTCTGCCTCTTCCCTCTGCCCCCCCGCCCTCCAGAGCTATTTAAGGGCTGTCCCTCTCCCCTTCTCCTCATTATTTCGTACGGAGTTCATTTCCGGCGGCTCGCGCCGGCGGCCTTCGGCCGCGCGCTCCTGGTGGCAAGGAACAAGGTGGTGGATTGCTATACCAGGAAGAACACTCATGCAAAGGAATCAAGGGAGCAGAGCCTAGGCAAGAGAGAACGGCATGCAATACTACACGCGGCGGAGGCCTACATCGTGTACGGCTCCGCCCCCTCCATCTCAAGCATCGAGCGCATGCACGCCGATACCGCAAGGAGATGCGCCGATGACTGGAGCATGTCCAGGGGGGTCCCGGCCTGAGCAGCCCCTACAAGATCCCCCACGTGGCGGGGGAAAGTACGGGCTAAGGGAGCTACCCCGGCGGGCGCTTCCGACACGGGCGCCAACGGCGACTCGAGCGATTCTGCCAAAGTCACGCAGGATCCTCGGGATCCTGGACCGAAACTGCTCGGAAAGTTCCGGGTGGCCCCACACACCGCCAGCTGCAAGTTCGCCACCACCTCGCTCGCCTCCGCCAGATTCAATATCCGGCACATGGTCAGCATGGGGTCTCTCCCCGCGGGATTGGGGAGAGGTGCAGTCTGCTCTTCGCGCGGAAACGACGCCGACCAGCCAGGAACGCGGCCAACAGTCATGCGCCCAGCGGAGAAGCCAGGAACCTGACGAGGGGAGCGATACTCGGGTCTCCCCACCCGCGCGGGCAGATACTCGGTCAGCATCGGCGCGCGCAGGGGGGCCACCTGGCCGGGATCCGCGGCAAAGGGAGGTCCATTCGTCACCTCGATGTGAACGTGAGTCGGCCCCCCGCTCGCCCGGGCCTGCCGCACCACATCCACGAAAGTGTTCGCAGCGTGATCAAGAGCAGGATCCGGCTGGCGGCCAGATGAGCCGCGCCCTCCGCCATTCCGCCGGCCCCGCCGCCCAGCAGAACCACCCGAATTCGGACGCGGAGGGGACTGCTCGCGGCGACCCGATTCCCAGCGACGCCCAGGCGACCCCCTCCCCCGCGTCGCCGGAGCTCGCCACGGTGATTGTTGAGCGGGGGATCGCGCTCGGGGTGAGCGCTGGCCTGCTCGACCACGGGAGGACGGGCGCCGAGGAGAGCGAGGACGCTCAGGGGAGCGCTGATCCCCCTTCCTGCGCTGATAATGCTCGCGACGCGCGGGAGAAGGGCGACGAGGAGACGGCTGCCGTGGGGGCTGACGCTGAGGCGAGTGCCCGCGCACCTGCGGCGGCTGACCGTCTGGACGGTTCGACGCAACACGCGCAGGAGCCCACGAATACTCAGGGGAGGAGGGGCGCGCGGCTGGCTGATGGGGAAGAGTCTGCACCCGCTCGAAGCGGCCGACGGGCTCGCTTGCGGAGGGATGCGCAAGAAGACGCAGTCGAGGCTCGGCAGGTGCAGGCTCCCGCGGCGCGCTCTCCGCGGAATGCTCAAGCTCCGGATCTCGTCTTGCGGACGGGTCCATCACTCCCGCCCGTAGCACAGCAGATGCCAGCGCGCCGACGAGGCGAGGACGAGACGACCGCGGCGCCGCAAGCGGGGCGCGAGGGAGTCGCGGTAGCAAGGGTAACGCGCGGAATCCGCGTCGGACGCGGCAGTCGCCGCGGATGAAGGGGTAGCGAGCGTGGATGGAGAGGCGGCGGTGCGCGGGGCACGAACAGACGCCGCACAGGAGCCAGCGGCTTCGCGAGAATCGCGGAGAGGTTGATACGACAGAGCGCAAGAGGCGGCGAGGAAGAACTTCGCGAGGAGACAGAGGAGGCTGCGGAGAATGAGGGAAGTGACGAGGGTGACCCCTTATTTAACCCTGAAAGAGAGGGGTTGTTAGGGGCAGAAGTCGAGGAGGATGAAGAGGAGTTGGATCGCCTACTCCAGGGAGAGGAGGTCCCCAGCCCACGTGCCCGAGGCGATCCTGCCAACCGAACCACATCCGAAGGTGGGGGGCAAAATCCAAACCCGGGCCGAGCCGCATCTGCAACTCCAACCCCCAGAAATCGGACCGCGAGACCAAACC